TATCAGTTTCATGAGTTTCCTGATATTTAGCCAGATTTTTTTATTAAATTAACAATTCACAAACATACTTTAGTTTTTCCATATTGCCTCTAAGTAACAGAAACAGCAATGTTTAAAGCCTCCTCCATACAAGGCATTATACAATACTGAATCCTGCAACAGCAGGATATTAGACTTGGCACATGTTCTCTACTTCTACAGGTGCATTAGAGTGATCAAATATTTGAAACAGACATTTCACAGTTTCGAGAGAGCAGTCCTGAAGCTGTTGTCCAATGTCAATTTACAGTCAGCAGAACACACTGAGATAGCCAGCTGCTGTTACAATGGCTAATGAAGTGTGACAATTTAAGTGCCAGTACCCAGGACACTCAGCCCTTCGAGAGAGATTAAGCAAGCAAACCTTCATGTAACGGATAGTACTGTGCTTCTGTAACACTCCATGGATATTACAGTTTGAGCCAAAAAATACTTGCTATAAAGGAAGGTGTGGAACTCGATAGCTGTAAGAAGAGGTGTACAAAGCACTCACTGAGGTATGAGTGTACTTCACTGACTGCTCTATGCTACAAAACACCCCAGCCACCCTTTATAGTAGTTACTTACAAGTGTTGCAACACACAGAAAGTTAACTAACACTGCAGAGATATGGGATTTCACACCTAAGTCCACCAGTAACTTGCTATGTGACATCGTATTTCTGTAAAATAGCTAGCAAAACAGCCCCGACTTCAATGATGGCTTCCAGTGCTACATAGACTGTATTGCAACTGAGATGACAAAGACTGGTTCCTCACTGTAATTTGCATATATACGTCAGATAAAGCCAAAGCTATGGAGAGAAACACCTAGCTTTAATAGCCACCAGGTAACTAACTTCCAGTTCAATCCTACAGCTGTGGGAGCAAGGGACATGAACTTCCTTAAATAAACAACTCTAGCTGCTATTACACGATTCAGAAGAGACGAATTTGGGAAGACTGACCATTCCAAAAGGGTAGTCAGCCTCTTTAGAAAGTCTCATAGTGACCTCCCGTTGTCAGTAGAGAACATGACCTTAATAATCCCTGGGACACAGGAAGGACACTTCAAAACCTGAACTGAGGCCACATAGACTAGCACTAGAATTCACCTCCTCCTGTCGTGCAACATCCTTACACAATGTGAGACAAAACTGTAACTTTTGAGGACTCGATCATCAGTAGACCCTAACGTGTAAGGGACTTGCAATCAGCCTAAAGGACAAGAAATCTGGCACTAGTAGTGGACTACTATAGTGATTCATAAACTTGATAGTCCTTCATTAGACTAGCTTCCATGTCCAGCATTTACTGAAAATGACTGCACAACAGCAAAACAGCTGGAATTCATGTTGATCTCTTACAGCATTCTCTTTCCCCCTTAGGATCTTGGTCATCTGGTAGGTGAAGGGTATTAACAAAGAAAAAAACTCTTGCACTGCAGGAATGGATGCTTGGAGTTCAAAATGAAGCACACCCAGCCAAGGACTGCAGTCACCAGCAGTTGGTAAATCAGTATCATAGCTCCCTAGACTGAAGAAGGGACAGAAAAGCAACTGATGTAACCTGTCATATCCAGCAGCCATCCCTCACCCTTAAGATCAGGTGAAGTAAACCATTCACATTAATCTTAGTGACACTGCTCTGGTACAGGCAGACTAGTCATTCTTTTACAGAAAATAAATGGAGATATGTCCCAGTAGAGACACAAACAGGCAACTACCTCCCAGATGACTATTTCTCTCTTATGCAGTTTGCACAATGGCTCTCTATGCCTCTGCTGTCACAAACAATTTGTGCAGTGCACTCTAGTAGACTCATTCTGGAGCTAGGAGTATTGCTGAAGTTTATACAGCAGCATCCCAATACTTCAGATTTACATCAGCTTCTGGAGCTCCCTGTGAGGTTCTCTCTAAATTCTAGGCTATCTGGGATCTAGTCACCTTATGAACTGCCTTTCTTCACATGACGTACTGCCAGAATTGAAATCAAAAGCTAGCTGCCATGGTCATGTTTCCATGCACTGCTTCTCCCCTTGCTCCACACTTGATCTTCCAGACTCTTAAGTCTGCCGGTAGACTAATACAAGGGGAAGGGAACCTGAATCTAATCTCCAGCCTGTATGGTTTAATTTCTGGTTTTCTAGTAGATATCCAGTTTGCAAGATAAGTACCTAGTCTCAAGTTTGCAGGTTGTCATAACACACCCTTAGGTGATTATGAGGCACCAACACAGCTGTACTCCAAAAAAAAAAAACAAAACCAACATTTATTGAAGACATCCTGCACAGTAATACTTCAGTAGAATACCCAGCAAGTTGAATACCCTCTCCTGTCCCCTCCAAGTTCTCAATAATCCCACCAATTAACAGATGTGACTTGATTCTGTTAGTCTTAACAAGTTAGGATGAACAAAAATAAGTTATTTTCTCTGCAAGTTTTAACAGAAGGACTCCCGTCACGTCTTCCCAAAGTACTTCCCACTGAAGCCTTATGAACTGTTCACATACCGTTCTGAAGTCCTCCTCAAACTTGTAAGCTCCACCTCCTGTGGCACAGAGCGTAGTGTGCAAACTGGAGAAGTTCTTTTCACTACCCATTTGTATGAACCTGTGCATGGCACAGCTGGGAAAGCGGATGAAGTGCAGGTTTCCTTTGCGACCACACATAGTCAGATTTTTCAGTTCAAGATGGACATCGCGAATGCCAGTTTTACCATAGGCTGTATTGGAGGTCAAGTATTTCCTAATGCTTTTCAGGTTTTCCACCTCCTCCTGTTCCTCTTCTGCAGTAATGTCCTTAGGTTCAAAGTAGACCAGTTTAACCAACGTTCCGCCAATATCCATTCCGAACCATGGAAACGCTAAGGACAAGGGGGTTGGGGAGGAAGAAAGAAAAAAGTCACTATAAATATACAAGTTAGCCATATCACTTAAAACATTTGCTGAACAACAATTCAGTGCAGTCACAGTAGCAGCATCTGCTCCTGAAAGTTGCTGGTCACTTACTTGTCCAATTCACATGTATTAAACAGCCTTCTAAGTTAAAACTTCATAAAGCTTCGGTTAAGAATTAAAAAAAATAATCTCAAAACACTCTTCTCTGGAGAAGCAGGTTTTAACAAAATGCAAATGTTTTCCCAGGAAAACATTTCACTCTTCAGTCCGCACCTCTCGACAAAGCACATTTACTGCATTTCACCTAGTCTGACTCCTGCCACCAATTCTAAAATAGACTAAGGAAGTGAGGAGGAAGAAACAACCAAACAGGAGAACAAGATTTCCCAAGTCACATTCCCACTGCGTAACATCTACAATTGCCTTTCCAAGAGCTGCCGGAATTTCCACAGTCACAGGACAGTGTCTGAGGAGCAGCACTACATAACTCTCCCATTACGCTGGGAGCCTCCAGACTCCCAACCCACCATAACCAGCAGCTCTGTTGGAACTACACCACCTGCATACATTAGCAGAAACAGAGTGAGCTGTTTTAAGTTCAAAATTTACTACTGACAGTACTTTTCTTTGAGCATAGACTCCCTTTGCCAGTATGTGTGCTAGCCTATCATATAACTATACAAGAAATGCCACTATTTGCTTCTCAGCACATATATATTTGCCACAGCCGGCCCAGGTCTACCTAAGCCTTTGTTCTGCTAATAGCAAGATAAAAATCACTGTGAAGAACATGCAGGCTCAGGATACTAATGCATCCAGGTTGGTTTGCCTGCTTTGCTTATATAAACACACATACATTTTAAAGAGTAAGCCAGGTAACTTTATGAAGCAATAAGAAGTGAGAAGATAAAATCTACACACAGGTACTGCAGAAGGATACAACTGGTAATGTTTCTCAGAGAAATTAAAACTATTGAGCACGCTGGTAGCGTTTAAGATTCTTTTCTAAAATAGCAGTCACACAGTCACCTCTGCTTTTAGAGAAAAATCAGGAAGACTTGCTAGAAATGTGATTCTACTAACTAGGGCATCCAAACTTAGTGTTGATACAAACTCCAAACCACGGACACCATATGCATTACTGATATTTCTGCCAGTGAACCTAAACGCAAACAACTTTGGGCAAAGATTTTAATAAGCATAGGAGGTACTGATCACACTGTTCTTCCTCAGGTAATTACAGCTCAGTATTAAGTTACTCAACTCATGCTGAAAGGAGCTTAGAGTCTTTTACTTTTTACCACAAGGGTCTCAGCATCATTCTTGTCTGGCTGAATAATTCAAAAGTCTAAATTTCATAGTTGTTAATACACCACCCCACCCAGCAATCTTTCAATGTCAGATGTTTAAAATGGTTTTTTTTCTCCATTGCTGTATGAAGGCATAATGCAAACTCCTATGAAATAGCTTGCTTACAGTTCAGTTTTTCTAAGAGCACCTACTGTTACATGTTGCAAAGTCCAATTTCTTTTTCTATGCCCTACAAGCTGCAAGACACAAAAACACAGAAATGAAGTCTAATTTGAGGTTTAGGAAGATACATCCTATGCAGATGCATGAAAGCTCCTTGAAGTGGGAAGAATTTGAAACAAGTGTTTTTAAAATAGGCTTTATTTTAAGGAGAATAACTATGTTACCATACACTGATCTATTTCCAACACTTCTGGAAGTACAAGGTAAATACTTCAGCAAAATTGGTCTCATCCACACTGTATAACATTACAATACAGTGGAGCTCAGGACGCCAATCCCATTTACACAAATCTTTATTTAAGCTACTGAGAACTTTAATTACCTGTCTCGCTGGAACAGCAAGTCTTCTCCTTGGATGTATCTTAACTATGCAAGCAGGAAGTTTCATTTTAATAGCTGCATGTTTGGACTGTGCCATACAAAACTAGCCTGTATCCACATGTAAACAACTTCCAATATCCTACATTAAGAGCGTAAAATCTGCTACAATCTATCTGCACCAACAGTTGCTTTAAAGCTGTACCAGAGATTTAGGCTTTAAGAGAGAGAATAAGCATTCCATCCTCCTATCAAACACAAACCCAGCTATAAAATTGTTAAGTACTAACAGCTGAGAGTTATTCATAAATGACTGCCAAGACTTTTACTTGTATATCTTAACATTTAGAGGAGTCATAAATAAATCATTCACACAGAATAAATACTGTAGAAAACAACTATGAAGCTATTTCCAGTCTGTAGAGTTCTTGGGATCAGTATACATAATGCTCACATTTAAAAAGCAAGCAGAAATGCCAAGAAATTTTTTTTTTTTAGTTTATTCTATCTGTGAATCTAAGCTCCTTTCATTTTGTTGTGAGCCAAACTGAGAGCTCCAGAAAGAAAAGAACTTTGCTCCTAGAACAACAGCAGTTTTCTTCAGCACAAATAAAGAGCACAAGATCAGTCCACAACAACCGATACTTCAGTTACACAGAACAGCAGCTTAGTTTTCTCCACAACTGCTAACACCAGCTATCTGTTGGAATCACTTGCAACAAAGATGACAACTGATTGACCAATTAGGACAAAAAACAAGTCTCAAGGTTCCTTGACGTTCATGCAACTCCTGTACAACTGGAGCAACAGTAGAAACACTTCTCTGTTCCAGTGAAAATGTATTCATTGTATCTTTTGTTACTATCAATACATTCTGAAACAAAATGCACCACTGAAGTACCATCAGCTCTTGTCAGTACCTTTAGACAACCCACTTGAAGTGGTACCTATACACTTTCAGCTCCCTGACGCCACGGAATGCAGTGCTAATGGCAGCGTGCATGCAGACTGCAAGGTGCTCCTGGGTTTGGCTGCCCCCTGAATACAGGCAGTAAGACCATTCAGAGGCCACCAAAATTATCAGGACCCTCACTGTTACAAACAGGGGGCACGAAGAAAGGCAGGCATTTGTGTAGGTAGTCTCCACAAACCTGATATAAAATGGGGGGAAATTGTAGGGTTGGGTTTATTCTTTTGTTTGGGTTGTTTGGGGTTTTGTTCATTTGTTTTAAACTGGAAGTCCAGCACTTCACTGCTAACCCAAATACATGTCCAGTTTGAGTTATTAAAAACCAGGAAAGCAAGGAGAAGAAAATGAAATCAGTCACATGCACATCTTAGGCTGATAACAGTTATTCAAAATTGTGTGACTAACTGAAAAATGAAGACACTGGATGTGTTGCAGAAATGCTTTCAAAGTGTAAAAAATGCACTTTCTAATTAAAATTGTCTGACAAGGCTGTTATGAGCAGATTTCTTTCTTTGCAGCAAAGTCAGTATGCAATATACCTATTAGACCAAGGCAATCTAATATTGTGGAGAAAATAAAACTATTCCACTGCATTGCTACACTGCAGTAAGTCATAAAAAACACCACCACTATAAAATCTAGTTCTAGGTCCCATAGAACTGATACAGAAAGCGCCAAGATGAATTACGTATTCCTAAAAGCCTAGCATAAATCAAAATAGTCTGCTTATCTTCTTAAGAAAATTAATTCTCTAGGTTAAACTGCACCAACTACCTACTGGTTTGTTATCTTAAGATAAAAATTTCCATTACTCCAAAATTTAGCTGCAGAAGCATGTGACAATGCAAACAGAAGGTATCTACAGCATTGCATAATTAGGTAATCTGATGCACATCAACAGCTGTGCTATCTGGGGGAAAGGTTCACTCATGAAAATTCCATGATACATTTTACTTAGTTTCCACACAAACTTTGAAAAGTATGAACCTATAAGGCAGAATTGAACATATTTGACTTTTAAAAATCCTATGCTTAACATACAACATAAGGAGGGTGTGTCAAAGGTAAATATGAAATCATAACATGGACAAGAGCTCAGGGGAAGCAAGAATGAAAGGGAACTCCCAGGTCACTAAGTAACATTTCCCCCCATCAAAGAGGGTAATCCTTTCCATATGTTTAAACCACCATCACATAAGGTTAGCTGAATCTTTTTACTCCTCAACTCTTACAAACAGACTGTGCCTAAATCCTGCTGGTTAGAACTTTCTTCTCTCTACCTGGACTGTAGATTCATCCATGACCAATTTGCAGCAGTTTCCTCTTTTGCCAAAACTGTTTCAGCTTATGCATGTCTCTTACAAGACCTGTATTTACTTGAACACAGCTACAGTATCTTATTTTTTTTATCATTAGTTTGAATGGTGGTATCAATACTCTGATATCTTGGTCATAAATATCTCAGATAAAGTATCTGAGGTTCAGCTGTTTTTCTTCCTGGACTCATATATGATGAAATCCTATCACTTCATTTACATTTTTCATTTGCATTTAATTTGCATTTCTTGATGCTTTGATGACCTAAGAACTTCCTGTTTTAACTGGGGCTGGAAGAGGGGAGAGCGAGCCAAAAATAAGAACAGGAAAAAAAAAAATCTAAACTAGAGTCACACATGGGATAGCATTCTCACAGCTTCTGGAAGTCACTTTCCATTAAAAAAAACCAACCAAAACAAACAAATGCACAACCCAAACAACTTGAAACCCAAAAGCACAGAGCTGTTTGTTAAACAGTTGTGACCAGTCACACATATGTAGTCATATTACCACTAACTGATTTCTGAAGACAGCACTGTGAGACTAGGTCATTATCTAGCCTGTATAGATTCATTACAAAATACTAAAAAAACAAAAGCCAAACTTACACAGCTACAAGAAGCAACGATTAGCTATCAAAAATCTTGTTCTTGGATCTGAGAGCCCCCAGCCTGATGGAAGCTATTTGCATAAGCTCCCTGTTGCTGTTGGCAATGTGTTATCTTGCTGGTAAGGCTGACACACAGTTTTAACTCACAGGATGCCGGACCACAACACACCAAATAGTTCAGTTTGTTATGACCAGTCCTATTCCTTAGGCAAC